TAGCTTTATGCAGGCGAGAGGAGACCCAGCAGATGGTCCTCCGGGTGCATATCCATTTGTACAAGCAGCCTTACCTCGCAGGGGTGTCCAACCTTCTGGCATCTCTGGGCCACACTGGAAGATGAAGAGGTGTCTTGGGCCATACAATGAATACATTGTGACATGTAATTGCAAAAAAAAAACACCCCTTAATAATATTTAAATAAATGAATGATTTTGTGTTGGGGCCGCATTCACAGCCAGGTTGGATAGCCCTGCCTTAAAGGAAAGAATCAGGAGAGCGGCCTGGCATTAGGATAGAAAAATCTATCTCAGGAGGTATTTTTTCTTTAGTCTCAGAAACTAATATGTCACTAATTGTGTGATGACAGAGGAGACAGGAGACCTTCCAGGCCTGGGCTCTGAGTTGCTCCGTGACATTGGACAGGAGGGATATCCATCCACCTGCCACCCACGCACGTCACCTGGGCAGCCGAGGAGTCTGGACTCCGTTCTGAAGAATGTGAAGCAGGGGGAGTGACAAGAGTAAGCTTCTTCTCCAATGTCGATGGCATAATTGATATTAGACACTTATTCTTAATCTTTTAAGTTATGTTCTTTACTGTGGCAATAGTTTCCTTAAGTATTTGCTTAGTATTTTAAGTATCTGTAAAAATTTTTCTTGCTTATTTCTATGTTTCTTTGGTTTTGACACACTTTTCATTCAACAACTTCACGAGGGCTTTCTCTGTAACAATGTAACAGGAACGGTTTTATAGTGATGAAAGCTTCTATGTTTTATCGTAGCAGATGCTGCCGGCACCTTGCCCACATTCTCCAGAGTCAACCAGAGGGTGGGTCACCTGAAGCCAGTCCCCTCCCAGGCTGATAGCGTCCCACATGCCCCCTGCCTGAGTTGTTCGCGCACCCCAGGGGGTGCGGCTCGGAGCTGGAGAAGGCCCCGAGTGCTAGAGAGTGAAGGGGGTGGAGTGATTCTCTGTGGATGAGTGACAGGAGCTGGTGGATCAATCCTCACCCCGCAGGACAACGGCTGTGAGCTGTGCTCCAGAGTCTAGTCCTCTGAGGGCCTGCAGCAGGACAGAGTCTGAGCTACCCGCAGCGGTCGCCTGCTCATCTGTGTACACTGTCCTGTCTTTTCATCCATCCCTTCCCTGTCCAAACTCACCATTTCCACCCAGGGCCTCCTGGGGTCACTGCCCAATAAACTACCTCCACCTCAGTCATTGTGTCAAGGTCGGCTTTTGTGGGGATCCAAACTAGGGAGGTTAATAGACTCTATGCACTCATGTATCAGAGGGTATCTTTTCTTTCCCTTCACCATGGAGGGCCAGTTGGCTGGGTATAGAAGTATTAATAATTCACAAAGGAACATCCTATAACTTTTGATATTAATGTTACAGAAAAGAAGTCTGTAGAAAATGGGTATCTTTGTTTTCTGTTAGATAGTAGTAGTACTATTCTCACATCCTTAAAATTAAAAAATCTCATAAAGCTGTGTGTACACATTAAACTGTTCTCAATATATATATATTTTTTGCCTGGAATTTGTGGCACCCATTCAGGAAAATGGAGAGCCTTCTTTGCTCATGTCTTCTGTTTGCAACTGTCCTACCAGTTCTCCTGGCGATTCTCCGGCCCCCACCTTCCGCATCTGTGCTCTTCACTGTCATCTCCTTCATCACTACGTCCTTTACTCTGAATTCTCAGAGACCTCCTCGAATACGCCCTGCATGATAATGAATCAGTTTTCCATACTGCTAAGTCTGCTCTCTCCCGGTTATAGCCTACGTTTGCACTCTGCCTTTGCTTCCTTGGTTTCATTATAATGTTTCCTTATCCCTTCCACAGGCTTGATTTTTGCTTCCCTCTCGGTTTATCCCATTTCACCCCATTCTGTTGTTCTACTTACTCTCTGATCTTTTGTGGTGCTCACTTTTTCTTGAATTTCTTCAAGAACAGAAGTGAATGCTATGTAAAGTTTACTTCTGTTTTCTATTAACAATCTTCTTAAAAGGTATGCCTTCCCTCCGTATCTTGTGTTGTACTTTTCTTGGTTTTCCTGTTGGAACCCTTTTGAGGGGCCCATGTTGGTTCTGTTCAGGTCTGCGCAGGGGTGGGCGGGCTCCCTTGATGTCCCTTCACTGAGCACTTGAGTGCTGTTAGGACTGTGTTCTGGGCTCAGCGACGCCAGTTACACCCCCGTTACAGTCAGGGTTGTGGTCGTGGGAGGGCACCCTTTTGTTCCTTTCCCTTCTCCTGCCACACGGAGGGTCGTCTCGCCCACCTGCTTTTCTGGGTGGTCCGGCCTCCACAGCTGCTCCGTGATGTCTCTGTGCCCTGTCACCTCCCTCACACTCATGCTCACCACATTCCCAAGAGCCCCTGATGCCTTGTCACCTTCCTACCAAGGGGAAGCCTAGGGTTCCCTGTGCCCTAGGTTCTACTGGTTATGGAAATTCAATGGCAAAAATACACCAGGGATATATTCTAATTTTCTCCATAATCAGCGACAGTGGCTAATGACCTCCCTGTGTCCTTCTCAGGTGCATTGCCCTTGACTGACCAGAGCTCCCTCATCCAGAATGCCTGGGAGCTGACTAACCCAACCCCACGACAGTGGCCAGTGATGACAGAGGGGTGGAAAGGATTCCCCCCCCTCCCAGTTCAAGAGCAGGCAATTCTGCTGAGTGATTTGTGTTCTAGAGCAGTGGTCCTCAACCTTTTTGTTTGGTACCAAAGACTGGTTTTGGGGAAGACAACTTTTCCACAGATGGGTGGGGGGTGAGGAGACAGGAGGCAGAACGCAGGCAGTAATGGGAACGAAGCTTCGCTCGCTTGCCCATGAGGCCCAGGTTCCTAACAGGCCACGGACAGGTACTGGTCTGTGGCCTGCAGACTGGGGACCCCTGTTCTATAGCACCCCTCCCTCTCTTTCTACCCTATAAATGAGCTAGCTTTTATGACCGCACATCCCTACTCAGCCCTGTCCCTACCCCTACCCTGCCTCTCTTCGCCTGGAGCACTCCTCCCATAAGGCAGATCCCCAGGACGGCAGGCAGTAAGGAGGGAATGGGAAAATGTGTGCAAAACCCCTGTGTACAGTAGGTGGTCAATCAATGTCACCTCCCTCAAACAGTTTCAAGACTAAAAATATAAACATTTGCTCATACCAATCTCTGTAGAAGACACTCATCACAATATTATTTAACAGAGAACAAAACTGGAAATAATTAAATATCTAACTACAGGAGTTTGTAGGTAATCCATAGTATATCTTACGATAGAATGTTATGCAGTCTCCAAGCTAGAAAGAAAACCACGGTGAAGGGAAGTGAAGTAAGATAGAGGAAGGTACTTAGTTTAGGAACTGATACTGCCCGGTCCTATATACTCACAGAGTGAGGCTGGCTCCGAACATTCTAGTAGACAACAGAGAGAACAAAGCCTAGTCACAAGGATGACTGTGTCCACAGGTAAAAATATGCCCATTGTTCAGAAAAAGCACAGCTATTCGTAATTCTGAGACCAGAGAGAAATTTCTTCCATGAGCCGCGAGTGAGAGGAATCTGTGCAATATGATGACCCGGTCACCAACCACATCCTCTCAGTTACCGCAGAAATGAGTTTCACAGGTCTGGTCCCTGAGTAAACCTTTCTCCCCCCTCCCACCCCTGACAGGAAGATGGCATCACAGCACAAGAAATCCTGTAAAAGAGATTCTGTGCTTTGGTGGAGATACCAAAACCCCACAGATATCTGGTGCACTCTTGATGGGGTGGGGCCTGAACCAGGGGCACTTTTTAGGGTGTAGAAGGTGAATGGAAAGCATGCCCTTCCTGCAGTCCTTCTTCGTTATTTTTGGGGGCCTCTCCTAACCCTGGGGCTCCCAAAAGCTATTAAGCAGCAGGAAGTGTGAGACAATCCCCTGCGAAGTTCTTGGAGCACTGCCCCTCTGGATGGCTCTCTATGCTCCTGCTGCCTCCTAAGCCGGACGAGACGGGCGCGGTCCTGTCAGAACCACTGAGTCTGGCAGGGGATGTGCCTGAGCAGGAGAAAGGCTGCCAGCAGGTCTGAAGGTGCATCTGGTGCTCATCTGTGGGCAGGGCGACAACTCTCAGAAAGTGACTTTGGTTCCGTGGTAACACACACATCAAGGTGCTGCACTTCAAGGCTATAAACACTAGGAAAAGCTGCAAAAAGTACCCATCAGGACACGTGGCACAGTCACAGGGTAGAGGGAGGCCTGTTCCAACCCCCCCAACCCCCCATCCCCGCTCCCGGTTCCGCCTGCTGCCGGCCTAGAAGGCCTGTCCTTTCCCCACGAAGGTGGTTCCTGGAGGCAGATTCCAAGACAGGAGGGAGCCCCAGCGCCTGTTTCCTTCCTGAGCCGTGCCATTTAAACTCCTGTTCATTCAGATAAATTAATTCCCTCTAAAAAGCCCACTCAATTCGTGGAAATAATTCAATTTCCTCCACTGACTCAAGTATGCCAGGAATAAATAAATATGCCAAAGCGTGGGATGATGAGCATGACCCTCTGATGAAAGCATCAAGTGCATCACTGGCGGCAACGGGCATGAAGAGCTGCAATCTGTCCTCATCTCTGGTTGTTCTCGGCTACTGACCTAACGCCAGAACTGTCCGGAACATGCGTGTGCTGGAGACAGTGACCATGCATCGCCTTAGAGAAGGGGCCAGACCTAAAACCACATGGGGTGGGTTCAATGAGCGAGAATGGGTGGGAGACAGTGGAAGACATGGATGCTGCTCTGACACTCTTCTCCGGCTGTACCAACATACCTTCTAAGTCCGGGAGGAGAAAAATTCTAATTGTCCCAAATGGAGCCCTGACCGGTGTGGCTCCATTGGTTGGCATCATCCCAAATGGTACTCTACATAACAAAATCATCTTTGCAGAATCACTGCACGTTCTGAGCTAAGATGAAAGTCAACGAAGGCGCCAGCTGGACCAAAGGCTCTCTTTGGGGCAGCCCCCTTACCTTCTGCCACATGTTGATGAAGAAGAGCTCCCGGGAAACATTGAAGGACACGTTGGCATCGTAGGCATCGTCGCCAAGGTTGGAGATGGAGATGTTTAGGGAGATGTTCTTCACAGCCCCCAGAGCGAGATACGGGGTTTTCTCATCAGTGCTGCAATGAAAAAGAAACAGCAATGAATGCCCCAGAGCTTTCAGCTTTCACTAAATACAACATGAGCCATTGTGGGGTAGCTGAGGGTGGGGGGCAGAAACTGCTCTCGGACTAGAACTACAAGTCCCAGAAACCCCATGAAGCAGCCATACATCCTTAGATCCCATGAGCCTCGGTTTCTTCATCTAAACCCAGGAGGAGTCTGGGTTGCCTATCTCACTAGGCCATTCGGGGGTCACATGAAATCTTGTACATCAAACCTGTACAATCATAAAACATTTAATAACCTAGACATGGAATGCGGTCATTCATTCACTCGCATATTTTTTAGTACCTCCTGACTGCCCATGACTACTATTCCAAGTGCTAGAGAAAGAACAGCAAACAAAACAGAGTTCTTTCTTTCTTGTAGCTTCAGGGACAGCAAACACAGACACAAAAAAAGCAAACACACTGGTCAGATTGTGATAAAAGCTACAGCTATAACTTACAAAGGGGCAAGAAGAACAGAGAGTGCCAGATTGGAGGAAGAGTGGGATACGACATTAAATAGGGTGGTGGTCAGGGAAGCTTCACTGACGAGGTGACCTTAGCCCAAGGAAGCAAAGGAGCAACATACAGAGAGATATGGGAGCGAGCCAAGGAAAAGTGGTGCCTGGAATGTTCAAACACTGGCAAGGAGGCCAGTGGGGCTGAGAGGCGTGGGTGAAGGGGAGAGCAGGAGGAAATGGGCTTAGAGAAGCAAAGGCACTAGGGGCAAACGGGTCACCTAGGGCATTGCTGGGCCATCACGAGGGCTTTGGTTTGACCCTGAAATGGAGCCCCTGCCAGGCTCCAAGTGGAGGACCCCTGTGACCTGACCTCCATATTGAAAGGCTCACGCTGGCTGTGATGAGCACAGTCTGTGGAGCGCGTGGTTGGGGGAAGCAGGAAGCCTGGTCAGGGAGTGCTTGTCATGATCCAGGTGTGAGAAGATGACAGACCAGACCATGGTGGTAGAAACTGAGGCAGTGAGATGTCATTCTGGTCATTTAGAAGGTTATGCCAACAGATTTTGCTCGTGGGTGGATGAAGGGTGTTAGGGATCTTAGCAGGGGAGTCAAGGATGGCTTCAAGGATTTTAGATTCAACAAGTAGAAGGGGACATTGAGATGGGAAAGATGGTGGCTATAGAAGGTTTAGCAGAGAAAATCCAAATACCTATTGGATTTTTCAGTAGAGATCTGAGAGAGTGGGAAGCATAAGTCTGGAGTTGAAGGAGGAGTCTGGGCTGCAGATACACACCTGGGATGGCCCGGTTCTGACCATCGGGGAGCATGTGTGGGTACATAAGAGGTTTCACTCCTGAGAGCTGAAGATGAGGAGGAGCCAGCAAAGGAGACCGGAAAAGAGTGGCAAGAGAGACAGGAGGAAAACCAAGCGAGAGGGTATCTAAGTGGCCACAGGAAACAGGTTTCAAGGAAGGGATAATCAATTTTGTCAAAGATGGCATATAGGTCAGAATAACACGAATGAGAACTGGCCCCTGGAATGAGCCATCAGGAGGTCGTTGGAGATCTTGCTAAGAATGACTTAAGTGGAGTGTTTGGGATGAAAGCTTGACTGGAATGGGTGTTAAGAGCTCCGGGAAGAGAATAAGTGGAAACGGTGAGTACAGCTGACTATCTGAAGGAGTTTTTCTACAAAGGGTAGGAGAGAAAAAGGATGATAGCTGGTAGGGGATGTGGGCTCAAGGGAATTTTTTAAAGATGGAAATGATTATAGTATATTTCCATGGTAAAAGGGAGGATCTACTAGACAGAGAACCATGAAGGATGACATGACAGGGGACATTTGCTGGATAGCGTCTGAACAAATGGAGGGGCTGGCCTCAGCTGGTATGAGGTGAGGAAGAGGTGCGTACGGCACAGACACATTAATAGATGGGTCTTAGGGACAAGAAGAGATTCCTTTACGATTGCTTCCATTTCACAATGAAATCAAAGCAGAGTCAAATCGGGGATGGAGGAGGAGGAAGGAATGTTTGAGAGGTGAGGAAAAGAAGGGAAACAGCAGCCCGGGAGAGTCGGGAGATGAACGGGCCATCGATGGATGATGGTGGGGATGAGCGTGACAGCGAGGAGGAGAATGACAATGATGTACCTGACATTGACGATTAGTATGTGAGCTTTGGACAAAATAAATTCACATGGGTGGCCAATCTTCGATTGGAAGATGTGGTTAAGCATATAAATGTTTGTGTAGCAGGCAGTTGATATTTTTGGTCACAGCATCCTGACACCTTCTGTTTGGGGGGAAATCTCAAGATAAGTTGGAGGGCACATCAGTAAAGTTAGAGTTAGTTGCTAAAATGTAGGCACTTAAATGGAGTCAGGTGACATAAGGGTGATCAAGAGGCCTGGGTATGGTGAGCAGACAGATGCTCTTAACCAGGGTCATGAATTTTGAGGGTTGCCCAAAGGCACCAGGACGCTCTGAGATCATCTGAGGTGGCCACAGAGGACTGAGAGCCCAGGGGCGGCACCCTGAGCTACACCTTGCCTCCTCTGTTTCCTGTAATGGTGGTTCTCCAGCCTTCCTGGCTAAGCTCTGACCCCACCCCTATCCTTCCAATAAATCCCTTTTGTGTTTAAATTAACCAGCACATGTTCATCGTTGTTTGCGACCACTGATACAGCTAGCAGAGCAGGAAAGACAACTATCCCAAATCCCAGGAGGCTAAAATACTTTGAAATACAGATTTTAGGGGGAGAAACCCTCATTACCCATCCAAGACGAGAGGACCTCACTTTGCTGCACGCCTGGCACGTCAACAAGAATAACATGTGCACGGAGAGAGCCGATGGTCTTGTTTTTGGAAACAAGAGCCGTAAGGATCCAAACAAGATGTGAAAAATTAACTTAGAGGAAAGTTTCGAATTCTTGAATGGCCTCCAATAAATTACGACCCTGACCTCAAGCTATGTGGCAATTATTTATTATTCTTGGACACTTTAATTTTCAACAATTGATGTGTTATTTCTGTCCTCTTGTTTGCTTTTGTAAGATTAAAGGAGCAATCCTCAGGCTTTGAGGAGTTATGAGAAAGAGTGCTAACCTTGCCTTATCTTGAGGAGGGATTGCGTAAGGACTCACAAGTAGCCCAGTAGCCCCAGAGAATACCCATCGTTTCCAAATGAAATATTCAACAGAGAGACGATATAAAAATGCACAGGACCATGGGGCAGGGAGGTGCCTCTTCACTCCTCTTTCGTTGTTCATAATCGGCCATGTTTCCTCGTGTACAGATGGCAAGGGATCAGGCCAGGGGTGTGTAACCTTCTGCCAGCCCCCACAGCCTAGACTTCTGTAACTTAATCATGCAGTGTGGTCATCCCTGGGGCTTCAAAGCCAAGTGATTTAAACATGCTCCATGATTAAGGGAAGCCAGGCACCTTTCAGAACAGACCTTGAATTCGGTCTTTAAAAAAAAGAGGCCAGGCCTCAGAGCTGTTTCACTCCTCCTCCACGACTAATGCTCTGGTACAAAATAGAACCTCTCTGTTTCCAAAGCTATTCTTAGACATGAAATGCAATGTAATTTGCCTGGTGCTGGGTACTTTTAATCATGTCATCCTTCTGAAACCTTACAAAGCCATGAGAGGTTCCTGACAGTAGTTCCATTTTTAGATGCGAGGAGACTGAGATGCAGAGAGACAAGGTGACTGGCCGAGGGGCTGTGCTGGGCCTTGGATTCAGTGCCTCCTGGGCCTTCGAAGCCCATTCCTCGCAGCCCGCGTTCTCCAGCTGCTCACCTGTACGCCCCCCTGGGTGAGAAGGATCTCCTTGTTACGAGATCTCCTCCAGCCCCATGTGCTCCACCATCGTTCACAGCACTTACCCATGTGGTGAAGATACATTTATTTGTCTTCACATATTTAGGAACTATCTCTCCCCTATAAGGATCGAAGGACCAGGGGTCAAGGACTCCTGTCTGGTTTTTCACATCACTGAACCCCCAGTGACAGAGCTGTGCCTGGCGCACAGTAGGTGCTCAACAACCCCCTGTGGAGCGGATGAATGAACACGTACACCATGCCCACAGCAGAGCATCAGCTCAGCCTTCGCATCTTACAGCTGAAGGAGCTGAGCCCCCAGAAGGAGGCGCGCTCTGATCCAGGTCTGTCTATCAACTGGGGGCTGAGCTGTGGCCAGTGCCACCCTTCCATCGGCACGGGCGCCGTCTGAGCTGCCGCTGTCGTGCAAACTCTGTCTCAGCCGGGGAGGGCTTTGGCAAGATCTATCTGAAAAGAACAGGACTCCGTGAAGACCGACTTCTGACAGGACCTTGGAAAGAGTAAAATGCCCAGGCACAGGGTTTGGGTGTCAAACATTCCCCGGGTGCGCGCTTATTCCGTAAAGAACAATCCCGATTTTCAAGAAATTTCATTCCCTGAAAAAAAGTTCCCATTACCTTTAATTTGCTTGTGCAGTTTTTTACATGAGTCACACTACTTTGAACATCCACCACTCTGATGTACTTTTACAAGAAAAGCACTATTAATAGTTAAAATAAGAACCAAACTGTACAGCTTCTATAAAGCGTATCTCACCACATATCTACAGCCTGCTGGAAACATATGGCTCATTTGTCATAAAAAAAAAACAACGATAGCCCTGGCAGCGTAGCTCAGTTGGTTAGAGCATCGTCCCGACACGCCAAGGTTGTGGGTTCGATCTCTGGTCAGGGCACATACAAGAATCAACCAATGAGTGCATCAGTAAGTGGAACAGCAAGTCTGTATTTCTCTCTCTTTCTCTCCCCCCTTTCTCTCTAAAATCAATCCATAGAAAAATACAACTGTCCTAATACATCTTACAGCAGCTGTTTTCAATATGTTGGGTTTATCTTGAATTTGGCACTGTTCACTCAGTACCCCAAATGCCAGCTGTTACTGCCACCATGTTGGTGGCCAGAGGGTCACTGTCAAACCTGTTCTGTGACCTCACTCATCACCTTA